CTTCAAATTTAATTAATAAATTATATTAAAAGTTTTAATTATTTTAAAGTTAATTTTAAATAAGTTAAACTAATAAAAATAAACATTTGAGACTCAAAGATCGATCATTTAATTTATACAAAGTATATAATATATTTACTCTATTATCTATGCATACAATATCTATCTAAAAATTCATAAATATAAATATGGATAATATTGATTATTAAAAACAATGATAAAATTATGTAAATGAAAGTTGTTTTATTATAACAATTTTAGTTAATTTAGCAAATAATAGAATATATAACATATACTGCAGTATTACAATATGATTACAAACAGTTGGGTAAATAGGAAGAAATATCATAATTATCTTAAGAAATAATCAATATATTCATTATTATTATTTCTATATTTAAGTTATAGTTGTGTCTAAAATAATCAAATGGATAAATCAGCAATCAATTAGAAATATGAGACCAAAAGTTATGCTAATTTTGAAACAACAAAAATACTTAACATAAGATTTAGTTATTTAAATGATATGCCAAATATATCATATACTATATCAGTTAAATTATATTTTTCTCATTAAATAGTTTGTTATTTTGTTGTTTATGGTGACTGTTTTTAATTGGATAAAAATATGTTTGAAAAATATAAATATAATAATTATAATTAGTTTTTAGTATTAGTAATAATATGAAAGTTGTTTGTCTCAAATCTCTTGAGAAAAAATTGGGTGAAGAGTTCAGTATTCATAACAAAATAATTTTAAGCAAAATATAAGACAATAATTCTTGAATTATTATAATTATTGCTTATTATGATTGTTATTATTGTTGTTGTTTGCAAACTCCCAACATATTAATTAACAAATATGTTATAAATTTTATTAATTGATATTTTATACGTTATTATCATCTTTGATAATCGTAAGCATTTTAAATACAAACAAATTTACAATACATTTACTATTTAAACAATATAATTAAATAATAATTAGTTGTGATCTGTCATTAATGTTAACATTGCGACCACTTTCCACTGTTGGCATCATTTGTTACGGATTGTCATCAAAAAGACACATAAAAAACGATGTCTCGAAACAACAACTTTTTTATTGCTTAATTAAAAATAATGAAAACTTATTTTTTTACTTATTGAGAGCAAACATATCAGTATTTTGAAGTTTATTTTGTTTTAATTTATTATATATAAACAATTGTGTTATTTATGACTTTCTATATGGTCATTAACACACATGCGATACAAAATATTATATCATTGATATACGTATAGAAATTTTTTCATTGATTGCAACATTTTTTGCCGCAAATGACCGTAAATGAACTCATGGTTTCACTGATGCACCAAAAAGGCGTCTATGTCTGAGGCCTGGCATTAGCCATGAATTTACAGTACACAAGGGTCTGGGCTGGTCTTGAAAAATCCCGGTCCTCTCAGCTGAATAAAAATGAAACAAAAAAATTCAGTTATTCTTTACAATAGAGTTTTGTTTGCCCGGAGATTGTACTGATCCGATAGCACGGGTAGAATGGAGGAGAGGGAGGCATAGGAGAAAGTGACAGTATGTTTGAGAGAGAGAGAGAGAGAGAGAGGGGGTGAAAGTGTGTTTGAGACATCACTAGTGCTATGAAATATGGTTAGCATCTGTTAAACATCTGCAACGATATAAACATTATAACGGCATTCACATTGAATCCCATGTCATACCATCCCATTCCCGCCACCATATGATCCTAACATTTCAAAAACAGCAGATTTAAGATCACATAAAAAGTATATACACTATGTGCTGTATATATATATATATATATATATATATATTTGTTAATTTAATAAAAATAAATATTTATATTAATCACTAAAGAATTTTTGGACATTAATTTTGCTCTTAAAGTATTATATATCAGTGTTGGCCACAAAAAACACAAAATTATATTAGATTGAGAAATAAAATTATCTAATAAATGGTAGGTCTGGGTCTCCAACACTTGATTTATACTAAACAACTGTAATTTTTTTAAAAATCTATAACTAAATATAGAAAAAATTATAATTACATACATACTAAGTAAGTTAATAACACGTTAGTCATTCAATCGTTATTTTCTATTAGTTTGTTATTGTTATAGTTGTTTTCAAGTTATTATAATTTTTTGTTCAATATTTGTTATCAAAAAATTTTAACAAAAAGACAATAAAATTTATTGTAAAAACACTTCCTAAAAGTCAAACTCTTATCTCTTTCTTTGATTATTTTTAGCATATTTTTACAAATATAATGTCAATAATTTCTAAAATTGGAAACATAGGGTTGGCTAATGATATCAGGTTTACTCATCTTTAACTTCAATCTATATGACACAGTCATCAGTCTATGACTAAATATATACCCAAGTTTTAACCAATTATTACAATTAAACTCTCTCCCTCTCTCTCTCTCTCTCTCTCTCTCTCTCTCTCTCTCTCTCTCTCTATAAAAATTGAGAGGCAATTGATGGTAAATATGAGGGATGAAAACACGTGCTTTTGGTTTGCTTCTCTCGGATTGCTTGCTATTGCCATCATTTGAATGCACCCCCGATCTGATGGAGTGCCACCCCCTTTAACAGTACAATCAGTTGTAATATTTTGGTTTAGTCTAAAATGTGTTTCAAATGAGCAAATGGTCACAAATGCATCAGTTTTATAGTACTAGTCGTTGAAAAAATCAGACGTTAACACCAAAACCAAACCTTAACTAGTGATCAGTTCTTTACAAATGAAAAGTAACACCAAATATAAAATTTTGGTAATAAAATACTTTTGTTATTATATTTCTAAATATATTATATTTATTTTCATTTAATTATATTCTTAAATTGAAACAACTTTAATAAATTTGTTTAAACGTAAGTGTTATTTATTATTACTCTTAAATGTATATGTGATGTCTAAAAATAATTTCAAAAATATATAAATTCAATGTTTAATTTCTCATTTCGAGTACTTTAAAAGTTTATGTTTAGCTTAATTGCAATGTTTTGAAAACTTGTCTATTATATGATATACAAAACACAAAAAAAATGATAATAAATATCCAGTAGTGATGTGTGTGTTCCCTACCATTGCCTCAAAGCCATGAATGAGAGAATTTCATGTCTCCGGAAAAACAGAAATAGTTTTTATAATTTTTAAAGAAAGAAAATTATGGCATTAGTTGTGTTGTTGTTGTTGTTGTTGTTGTTATCATTCAAATAACTACTTCTTTAAAGTGAATACAGTATTCAACAATCAAATACATTGACAAAACCCACGACTACTAACCATTGGAAAGAAAGTCGCGATATTTTTAAAGATTTCTATTCAAATGTTTAAGTTTGTCTGCAGTTTATTATTGATAGACCTTTTGTATTGAGAAATGATTTTTTTTGGGTAACTATTTAAGTATTGCCAACTGAAACCTCTCGTCGAGTTCTTAAGTAAAAGTAAGATATAGTTTCCTCTTTATGTTTGTATTAAAAGGTATAGCAGTTATGCAGACTGTTGTCAGTCGTGTAACTATTACTTTCAAAGATTGATTTACGAGTTTTCAACGCACAAAACATTACAAAAATATTTGAATAGTTTTATTTGAGATCCAAAAAAGTATTGGACACTCATTTTAAAAGTATTTCAAATGTTCCGAAGTTTTTATAAAATTTTTGCAGACTATCGATAATATGATCCCAAAAAAGTCGGAAAAATAATGAGATTTTGTGTGCTTTAAAAAAAAATGTTTTAAAAGCTTAGTGTGAGTGTCATACCCCAGGAATGCCTCCTTTTCCCAACTTTTTTAGGTCTTATTAAACACAGGTCTCTACTTTCATGTGCCTCTAATCCCTGTTGACTACTCTATGGTTATATAATGGCATTCAAATACTATTCAAACTATTCCCATATTTTCTAATAAAAATTTCTTTTTCAAAGTGAAAAATATTTGCATTAAATATGCTTTTATTATAAAAGACTGTATGAAATGGTTGGTTGGTTTGGTTAGATTGTAATGTCTATTCCAATGAGATTTGGCATCTTTTCTATTAAATGCATGTGTGGGGTGACGGGAGGTGACGATACCGTTATCTGTAAACCAGATTTTGTAGTCATATATATGACATATGAATCTAATCGTCAAATGACTGACAATGAGTGCACTGTTTTGCTCTGTTTGTTGTCTCCGGTGTTGTTGTCGTTTGTTTCGCTAAATAATGAGAGCCTTTAGTCTCTCTCTCACTCTTTAGTACACATAATGAGAGACATATAGTGTATGACAAGTCCATGAAAAAGCATTCCTCGTTTTGTTGGCTAAACACTTAGTTATGATCACCGATACAAATGAGTTATTCATTGCATTCACACTAAACAGTCTTTTGGTCACAACAGTTGTGAAAAACTTTTTTTACCTAAAAATTTTTGTATAAGTTTTAAGTTTCTCAAGAGTTAAATCTGAAAAAACTAATGCATTTTATTAAATGTCAATTTTATAAATATGATCACCAAATAGTACTCTTTTAAAAATGTGTGTTACATTGATTAATATTATTTTAGATCATATAATTTTTTTCAACAGTTACTAAAATGTATGTATAGTTATTCTACATCTAATTATATATTAAAATTAAAATATATTTATACAGTATATTATTATATGTATATCTGTGTTAATTAGTGCAAACCTATAATCTTATAATCATATTTGCTGTGTCACTCATTTATAGTGCTATTAATAATTTATTTCACGAATAAGTGTCTACTAATAAAAAATTACTTTTCATATCGTTATAAATAATATTATAATACAATCTATTCCGAGACACAAACCAAATGAAAGTGATGTTATTGAGAGTAAAGAGTTATTTGGAGTTAATTTATGCTTTCATTTAATTATTATTTTTATTCATTACGAGTAATAAATAAGTAATACTATTCATTAAGTTTAGTGAAATTATACTGTATTTAATAACATTGAGTTTATAACTTATTACTGAATATTACAATTGAAAACTATGTTTTATATTGAAAGCAAAACATTATTGTATGCATTGACTGCAAATTGTGTTAATCAAGTCGTGTTTACACAAAATTGTGTTAATAATCATATTTTTATATATCTCTTGCATTTTTGATTGAATTTAGTTGACCCCAAAACGAGACTAAAATACTATAATAATTATAATCGGGATATAAATTGTGGGATATATATAATCGATATATAAATCAAATTATAGTTTGACTAAAATAATGGTAAATATGAATTGACAACAATTTCTTAGTTTTATTTAGTGACACTAATTTTAGTTACTGTTTGACAATTATCTGTTATTTATGTTATTGTTTATAAGTATATATTGATTATATGTGAGTCATACTCATACATATTTTGGTGATTATAATTTATTTCATGTATTTATTTAAGCTTTATTTAATATAAATTTTAATTACTTTTGATTTATAAATAATATAATAACATGTATAGCATAACTTTTAAAGTGTAACTTATTATTATTTTTTATTATTGTATTTAACAATATATAACTTATTATTAACTCTGAAATAATTTGCAGATATCAAGACTCAGTATAATTATAGATTCATAATATCATAAATATAAAAATAGATGTAATGTATTATATAGTTTATATTTTACTCTCACACGTAAAAAATAGATTTAAGAGATAACAAATAATTTGTGAATCAATTTTTTATTAGATTTTATTCAAAAATTATTATATACAGATAGGGAGAATAAAGTTGAAGACGTTTTTGATGAATGATTTACAAAATATAGCAAATATTAGATATTATTTTTTTACTGAAAAATAATCTCCAAATATGTAAAATTGTGTGATAAAAATTATATTAATATACGATTTAAAATTTGGTTACAATTTACTTTCAAAGTTGAAATACACTTTTAGTGATTTTTAAACAATAATTAATATTAGTATTTAATAATAATATATTTTAAAACAAAAAAAGTTATAAAAATCATAATTCCTAATAATAAATGTAAACATTAGTTTAAAAAATTGCATAAAAGTTCTAAAATTCCAAGTCAAAAGACAAATCAAATAAGTTAAACATAACTCAAATAACTGAATTTAAATTAATAATTGTAATAATAATACATATAATTAAAAAATTAAAATTAAAAACAATTAATTAGTTCTAAAACTTAAAAATCCGCAGCAAAATTTTATAAAATTGCTTAAATTAATAAAGCAAAATCACATTAATATAAAAAATTATCAGCAATAAATAATTACATTAATTTACTCTAGTTAAAGTTGAGAAATAAATTATATTTTTCGCATTTTATACAGTCATGTTTAATGCATCAAAATTAAATTATAAAACAAAATTTTAATAAATATCTAAAAAACAAATATAGAAAATCTTGAAGATATACTCTATCTCATCATTGTTTAAGACTGTAAAGTTTTAGACAAAAATATTCATCATTAATTTATAGTATTTAATATTTTTTTAAAGATATCTTTAAATTAATAATATTATATTTATTTAGAGCATATTTAGTTATTTTTTTACTATTAATACAGATTTTAACTAAAATAATAACTTTATTGTCCATAGAGATTTTAAATGGTCAAAACGACTATTGCTTTTATTAAAAATTAATTTAATTTTTTAGCAAATGATGCCTTTAAGTTTTACTATGTCCCCAAAAAATATCAGTTTTTTAATATTTAAAATACTCGTTTAAACAAACAAAAATAACTAAAATAATTTTGGTTAAAAATGTCTAAAGGTATATCTCAACTTTAAAAGTAAATTGTAGCCAAATTTTTAATTAGATTTTAAAATATTTTATATAACAACAATTTTACATATTTGCAGATTATTTTTTAGTAAAAATCTTTTATCCAATATTTGCCATATCAAGCAAATCGTTCATCAAAAACGTCTTCAACTTTATTCTCCTCACCTGTATTTATTATAACAGTATATTTAAGCGATTTTGATCCTGAATTAATTGCCTTAAAATAATAGTTTTGTATTGTTTTCTGGTAATTATCGAAGTATATATTTAGTCGTTTATTAGTCAATTAAGTGTATATTCAAAATAAAATACAATTAAATACTATTATTTAGAGCATTCACGTAAATATAAGTAATTATTATACAATACATACAGTTTATATTATGATAAAACTTTTTTAAAAATTTTATCGTATATTATCAAAGTTTTTATTTTTGTTATATTTCTATTAATATTTTAAAAATAATAATTTTATAAAATGTTTAACATAACATATAATAGCTATATTATGTAGAAAAAAGTTAAAAATATTAAACTTTTCAAAAAATCAAATAAAACTTTAAAGATTTTTTTAAACTCTAAAATTGTGTTTTCAAAACAAATAAAAAAGATATTTTATATTTATATTTAAGTATAAAAATAAATAAATCGAATAAAGGGTAATAATTAGCTCTCTCTCTCTCTCTCTCTCTCTCTCTCTCTCTCTCTCTTTCTCTCTCTCTCTCTTCATATCTTTATTGATGTTAAAAATGAATATAAACACCGAAAGAATGGACACATAATGATAACAGAGTTAAAACTTTTATTATATTTAAATCGCTTTTTTTATTCAACAGTTATGCTAATATTACTATTTATTGGAAAGTTGTTTGACATTTAAGACGCGATGGGCGAACCAAATGCAATGGTAGGCATTATCAGGTCAGGGAATGACAATTGCTTGAGCACTGGTAGCTCTAGTTTTGGACAAACTGGTGGTTCCAGAGGTCAGAGGGAGGCTATAATACAATTGAGTGAACGATTACAATACGAGTCATACAATAGCAATAGGAATATAATAGATAAGTCTAACGACAGAGGAATGGGTAGTCAATGCAATACTATGCCAACAGTGCCTCCAATACCTCCAATGCCTCGACTCAGAACAAGGACTACAGTTTCAATTGCACAGAGAGATAGAGTGAACAAAGATAAAGAAGACAGAGAGAGCCAGTTTGCCAGCACTGGTAGCAAAACCAGCTCTAAACTGACTGGTAATACAAACCATAATATCTCGAGCGCAGGCATTGCAGGCGATGCCATTGGGAATGGGCTGGTGGTAGTGCAAGTAGGGCGAGGTAAGCATCCAATACATACACTACACAACACCACTACCAACACAACCATCAGAGCTGATCACTATTGCATTGGCACCACTCCATTGGCAGCACCAGTAGTACCAGTCTCTGAGTCAAAGAGCAACCAGAGCTCCCTTTCCAGTCTTTCCGCGTTTGACAACAAAGCCTTTTCATGTGATGGCGAACCACTTGTGGTCGACGCTCAAGACATACAAACACATAATCTTAATAATGGAGACCACTGTCTGTCAAACGATGCCTTAACTAATAGTGTCCTCAATAGTGATCGCTTAGTGACCACCACTTGTGCTAAAAGTAATGGACTATTAAATAATGAGAGTATCTCATCATCCAGTGATTGTCTCCAGAAGTTAAATAATACATCAAAGACTTGTTTTATGATAACTCGAAATGAGAGCGAATGCGCTCTTAAGGGACAACAATATTGTTCCTCCAGTGACGACAATAGTTACGGTCTAAGAGCGCGTAACAATCGGTCCACCCGTTCATCGGTTGTCAAACATATCGGTGTCTTCTACTCTGATTTGTGTGATGTCATCAAAGCCATGACAACTGGTGGCAATCAATCCAATAATAATAACATCAATAATAATGGTAATAATGCTAATAATGGTCATAACAATAGCAGAAGTGTACCGCAACAGACCATAGCATCGGGAGGTCAGTCACAGCAACAACAACACAATAATGCGACCAATGCTTGCCATCAACGGACTAGTATATCATCTCCAATAGTGTCCCATAATGTCAATAATCATGTGCCACAACAGCAACAACAACAACAATCTTCAGCACAACAGTCGCAATCCCACCCAATTCAAGCTCAGACATGTGTAACTTCGAGCCAAATGTCTTCATCGCATGTGATGTCGAGCCAAACAACACTGAGAAGTCCGACTCAATCACAAAGCCGTTTGAATGAATCGCAAGTTCATGACTTACCCGATATCCTTAACTCCCATTTGCCTCCTCCTCCTCCTCCCTATTCAACTCTTCCTTCGCCATCAATCCAATTGCCACCACTATCACCATTACCACCATTAGCTCCAATTCGTGCACCGCCACCACCTCCTCCACCGCCACCATTACCTACTGGTCGGCCACCGTTGCCATCTAGACGTATATTACATGCACCGACAGCTGCATTGGCTCATTGTTCGCGACCAAACTATTTGAGACCTACCTGTGCTGTCAGTGAAACAGAGACTTCAACCTCCAAAACATGTCTTTCATGTAATGGTGTATCTATTCGATGGTTTATACTATTGATTGCATTTATAGGACTATTGTGTTCAATAATTGGCACCATTTTGGGTGCCCTCAGATCTACCGGTAGGGAACACCTGACACTGGCTCTACTAATGATCGGTAAGTTATCTCTAAAACTCATATTAACTTAATTTGTTGTTTCCTTTTCTCATATCATTATTTTTATAATACTGTATAGTAAATGATATGGTGTTATAAAAACTATATTTGATTTCTGTTTTGTGCGGTCTTTAAATGCTCTCATATATTATGATATATTATTGTATTATAAGAAAAATGCATTTTATATAACATATGATTTTAATGATATTTTATTCGCTAAAATGATTTGCTTTTTTATGCCTCACAGTCTGTCTAATACTCTTAAGACGCATAAAAAATCAGTGCAAATGATATTATAATATCCATCTTTTGTTGTGATATTTCTTAGCATAAAATGTTTATTACTTTTATTTCTTTCTTTCTTAATCTCAATGATTGCAACACAAAAATATGATGAGAGAGAGAGAGAGAGAGTGAGTGAAGTCGTCATATATTTATTGCAATTCAAGGTCCTCTTCTACTACTAGTTTTCAAATTTCAATATATATATATATACTTAAATATATTTAAACCTATTGATATGTTATATGAGATGCCGAATGTCCAGAGGGCATGTATTCCTCTCAATCACTACCATAACCACTATTGAGACATCCCTTACCATAGCATTGGCACAACTAATAGTGTACAATATATTTGAGTTTGAATTACAAGTTTGTAATGGATTAGACTTTTTTTGGTAAAAATCTTTCCTTGAAATACATACAAAATGGCATATTTTAACAGTAAAATTACAATACAATACAAAATATATTTTTATTTATTACTAAGTATTTAATTATTTACGAATTTATTATTTTTATTTTAGATTTGCTTAAAGTTTGTTGTTTTCATAACAATATTGCATTGAATAGATTATTACATTAATATTTCATAAGATTTCCTAATCATAAATTATCCAAACTTTAATTGTGATACAATATTTTATAGAAATGTAAAATTGCATTTTGTTTAATATACAATATAAAACAGTAATTTATTTGTATGACATATAAATACCATCGTCAGGACATAGTATATAAAATATAAATAATATGATAATAATAATAATAATGTGATATAATTATAAAGATGTCTTTAATTGTCTTTGTAATACAAATCGAGATTGAATCTAATTTTAAGTTAATTTCACAATTAATGCATTAATTTTAGAAAATAACTTAACCCTAAATATAAAATAATACACAGAATAGTTGTCTTAAGATTTATAAGAGTAGTTTAACGGATCATTTAACTGAAAAATAATTATCCTTTTATTCAACAATTTTATCACACAATATAAATGAGTGACACAATGTGTCTCAACTTAGAGGGTTTGGGATAGTCAGCAAAAAGGGATGGATATAAATATAATATCTTATGCCACAAAAAACTGCTTTAAATAATTATCTCTTACAGTACTAATTGTATATAATATACAAACTTATATTTCATTAAATTTCAACTAATTAATTAAAACCGCTTTAAGCATATATTTTAATTTTATAAATAATTTTTATATATTTTTTTTTAATTTACAAAATATACTAATTTGAAGATATATATAATGACGCTATTTATCTAAACAACTTATTACTTTACCAATTCAATTATAATATTGGTTTTAATTTTGTTAATTTTCATTAATTGTTATTTATTCTATAATAAAATACGTTTAAATATTAAACAAAATATTTTATAGATTTAACATTGATAAACATTTTAAAAATAATAAAAGCTTTAACTTTAATTTACAATTCATTACAATCAAAGTTATAGTATACCATATAAAATATAAAATTATATAAAATTTTTATTAATGTATGAATAGAAAACAATTATGAATAAAAGTATTTAACAGTAATTTTTAGTTTCCATTTTTTTAATCAAAATCTTTTCATTAAACAGTAAAAATCTATTTAATAGAAACTCAATTATTTTTCAATTTATATATACAGTAAGTTATATACAGTATATATATCTATATATTTGTTATAAAAAATATTTTAATTACAATTTTAATATCAATTATTTTTTATGATGTAATTTATTATATTAGTATTGAATTTAATTTTCAAATAACTGGATTTATTCATTTTAAATTAAATTTAAATTGAAAGCACTATATATTCAACATTTTTATTAAATTGAAATTTTTGATTATATTCATCTTAAATACATATCATTAAATTTTGTAAAATACTATTTCTTATTTTATTATTCAAAAAATTAGTTTTATTTGTTACAAATTTAAAAATTATTAATATTTTAGCTCATATCATAAGATTTATTTTACTTAAAATTTTTTTGAATTTATTTACGGAAGTAATGCTTATATAGGGTATATTGTTTAATATGTATGCGATTGTGTGGCACTTAAAACAATAGTGCGATAAAAGTCTGTAGTCTTCAAAATCTTGAAACCATTTGAATTTCTATTGTATTTTTAAATAAATTTTTTAATGATTATGTTATGATTTGTTCATTCAATTCAATAGAAATATTAACATAAATATTTGAATTATACTATTAACTGAGTAAATCAATTTTAATTAATTTATTAATAAAGTAGTTAAATGATTTATAAGTCATAATTTTTTTTTTAAAACCTATGATTTTTATTTACAATAACTAATGGAAAATTTTGAAACAATTATAATTACGATAAATGTTGTCTATAATTAAAATTTAAACATTTAAATTACATAAATATGGTTCAGGGTTGGTTCAACACATTTGATATAACATTAGTTATTATATTATTCAACAAAAAAAACAATTTTATATCATTTTAAAATTTTCTATTTTTAAAGGATATTCACAAATCATATTTAATAGCAATAGTCGTATGAATTTTCAAACACAACAAAAGTTGAACTCATATTCAGAAAAAATAAAATGCATTTTTGACTAAAGCGTGACTTTATTTTTCCATAAAATACTTACGGATTAAATGTTTTCTTTATATATTTTTGTTTTTTAATTTTATGGCTAAATAATACATTTATTAAGTAAAAATAGTTACATATATAACAATTTTATTAAATATATAAATTAATGTCTTATTGTTTTTAGCAATAAAAGCAAAACTTATGTAAAACACTTGACATAAGTACGTCTTAAACGAGGATTTGAATTATCAACAAAATATTTTGAAAAATGTTTATATATTATATAAATGTGTATAATATGAGAAAAATCATATATTTATTTTCAGCAAAATTAATAATAAATAATAAAACTTGTATTTTTGCATTTTTGACCCATTAAGAGGTCTAAGCCTTAATATATTGATATATATAGCAAATAAATTTCAGTTTTTATTTGAAAAACTCCTACTAATTATTTTTATTTAAACCATAAATTCTCAAACTTGAGTTATATTTTTAATTATAATTATTTATAATATGTAAATAATAATAAAAAAATATTAGATTACTTTATTATTTTTATAAGATTAACCAAACTTAAAATATATTGATTATAATATACAGTACACTAGTATTATATACACTAAAATATATAGTTTTCTTTTTATGACTAAACTTAAGTTCTTTTAATTATATTTTTGAAATTTATTATAATTTGCAATTTTTCAACATTTGATTTATTTTTTAAACAAACAAATGACATCATTTTAACGAAAATATTATAATTTTGAAAGTTTTATATAAATCTTTAAAAAAATACACTTTACTTTATGTATTCAAAATATAATTATACCTAAAAAATGTTTTTTTTATTGACGTAAACTCAGTATATAATATTCATATTTTCTATTTAGAAATATTTTTCTTTGAATTTTCAGACTATTTGATGTACTGTTATGTAAATAATAAAGTTTCTAATAGTAATGTTTTACAATGAAAATTATTAATGTTATTTAAATAAAATTTTCATGAAGATATTCAAAATTCACAAACATTTTCTCATCATATTTAATAAGTTACACAAAAAATATTATATTTTCTAATACAGTAATTTTATTATTATAACTTAACATAAAATATCATTTGCTTTCAATTTGCATAAAATACTAAATATATATTTATTATTTAACAGAAAATTTAAAAATAATAAGAAAATAGTATTTAATAAAATGATTACAAAATATAATATTGGATTATTTTAAGTATGAATATATAGTATTTTATAAGAGGTTTACATAATGTACTTTAAGTTAACATTGTATTGATATTTAGTAAAAATTTCTATTTTTATTATTAAAACTCGAATTCATAGGTTCAATGTTTTTTTTTTGTTTATTCATTATATAATTATTATTTTATTATCAATAAAAATGTCATTTTTGGTAATTTATATATTTATATTATTTTTAAGAGATCAATTTTTAAATTGCAACTACAAAATTATAAATTTTGTGGTATGTAAATGATTGATATGAAATAAATCACGTAATCATAGAATATATTTAATACAGTTATTATATTAAAATATTTATTGTAATCAATGTAATTTAATGATTTTCTAATATACAGTATTATGTATTGTTATAAAATAAGTTAGTTTAGTTTATTATAGTCTCACTTACTATTTATATTCACATAATTTTAATTTTATGTTTTGTATTAAGTGTGTTATTATATTATTCAATTCAAAACTAAGACACACATTGGGATATGTGTTAATGTATGTGAAGGCCCGGCAGTCATAAGTTATGCTAATTACCAACACTTGTGTTATGGATTTGGATGTCATTTTAGTCCATTTCATAGCATAACCATTGACTAGACTCACAAAAATTTATGTTTTAAGCGCTTTTGTATTGACTTTTTTTGTTATTTTCTTATGACTTTACTTATAATATGAATTTTGATATCATATACTACTTATATTAATATAATATTATCGATTATAACATTAAGTGAAAATTGTTATTATAAAATTAGATTAATGTGAATTTTGCAACAATTTTTTTCTTAAATTTATCAATATTTATTAATTAGTTCTTTAAAAATATTTATAATTTGCTTAAATTATTATTAATAATAATTTTT